ATATATATAATTGCATCAGGAATAGAAAAAGAATCTGAAAAAAAGAAACAAATAAAATACCAATTAAATAAAAATCAAAGTGGCCTAGTAGCCACATTGACAAAATTAATTCTAATCAAATTAATATAGTCAATTATTAAAATTATTATGATATTCTTTTGTTAATGTTAAAAAAAAATCATAATAATCAAACAATTGAGAGAAAAGATCTTTTAAAGTTTGATATTTTTGTAAATTTATTTACTTATCAAAAATAGTTCAACGATTTAAAAATAATAGTCATTTAACTAATCAGATGTATTAGGGTTTGATCAAACATATGCAACTATATATATATATATAGTATTAAAGTTATTTAATACTATATAATATAGTACTATATATTTTAACTAGTTACTATATATATATAGTAATAAATAACTTTAATAATGATAAAACATAATTATTGTTATCAAGAAAAATGTTCATGTAAAAATGATTATATTATAGACAAGTGAAAAATTGAGTGCACAAAATCTCAAAACATGATCGACAAGATTGTATTACAATTACAATCAAATAATTCACATGAAATTATTATACGATGATATATCGAAAGATGTTTGATTCGCATTAAAAACAAATGTCTGTGTCCTTGTAAAATTTGTCTCCCTGTTTAAAGAAAAAAGATCTGCACACTGTGCCTTAGTTGGATAAAGTGTCTGTTAGATAAACAAGGAGATGATCATTTAGGGTTTGATTCTCCCTATCAGAACTTCCTTTGATCAATGTAAAGTTTTCAGTCAACAGCCTAGTCACACGTTGAATTTACTAATTACCATTAGACCACTATAGTGTCAAACAACAACGTGGACAAACCATTAATAAAACGGATGGATAATCCAGTTGGATAAAGAAACAACAAAAATTATGTGCTGTTGATTGGAATCCCATAAACAAAAAAGGGAGTATTCGAAAGTTATGATAAGAACAAGAGAGAAAATTATTATTAAACATTTTACAAAAATAAATCTTTAAAAATAATTGGAAATATATAGACTGAAATAATTATTATAATAAATAAATAAAAATATATATATATTTTTTTTTTATTTATTATAATAATTATTTCAGTATATAGTCATATATATATACGTATATATCAGATCAAAATGATAATTAAATTGATATACAACATAATAATAATAATAATAATAATAATAATAACAAAAATAATAGTAATAATAATAATGTTTAATAATAATTAGGATTCGTTTTTGTACGATTCGTAGTCAAAAAGAGGACATTAGAGACTGGGATAATTTAAGTTCCCAATGATTACCCTTTGAAATATTTTAAATGGATACAATTTTGCTGAGAAATTGTGAGCTTTGTGGTGTTCCTAAATAGAGGATGATTCGAGAACTCAGATGAAAATGGATTCTTTTGATTTTTCAATAACACATAAATATAGTTTAATAATTCCATGAAATACTCTACCTAATGAATTGTCTATTGTATTTTCATGATATTTATAGGTACAATTTACTCTGATACTTCCGTTTCATCCTGATAATTGATTTTATGGCAATGCTTTATTAGAGACTGCGCAGATCTCATGTAGAATTATTTTATTTTCTTTTTCTTCATGTCACGTCGAATCGTAACCAAATACTCATTTATTTCTCGCAATGCAATATTTTTTTTTATACAAATCCTTTGTACATATATATATATATATATATATATATATATATATATATAT